TTCTTTCTTTCTTTCTTTCTTCCTTCCTTCCTTCCTTCCTTCCTTCCTTCCTTTCTTCCCTCCTTCCTCTTTTCTTTCTCTTTTTCTCTTTTCCTCCCCCCCCCCCTCCCTCCCCCCCCCTCCCCTATTAGTTCTAATCACTTGCAATGGCTTCAAAGGACCTGGAATGCAAAGCGTTAAAAAATATCTGGGCTACAGATGGCAATCTTGCAAGCCCCAACAGTGACTCATCCTTCCATGTCAATCAGATAAGCATCAGGCGTCTGGCAGGAATATGGGCAGATAGGGTTAAACTTTGGAACATGCACAGAGTGAAGAGCAGGCAGCCTGCACTGCAGGAGCTGCTAATGCTGGCTCGCAGTGCTTTCTCGCCCCCCTCAGTCGTTCAGCTTTGAGAGATCTATATGGAGCCATGGTAACAGCATTTGCACACTATATATCCACCAGCTTCTGACAGTGAGCAACTTGGCAGAAGGAATGCCTGTTTCACAGAGCCGAGAGAGGAGCTGGTTGATTTGCATTCTCCGATGACTTCAAGGGATTAAAGGCATCTTGAAAACGGAGGAAGATGCATAATTAGAACCGGGAACATTCTCGGATTCCTGCAACCCAGCAAGCAATTATTGTGCTGCTGAACCCAGTTAAGGAAAACTTCTCTTGGAAACGTTTTTGCCCTCGTTGCCTTCTTTCGATTGCAGCAAGCGTTAAAGCCAGGCTTAAATGAAGCTGCTAGACAGCGGAGAGCCAAAAGTGCCCGCTGGGAATCGAAAGGAAAATGATTCTTGAAGCTGGACTGCAGTGGTGCGATACCCCCATTGGAGGGTTTAGCAAGCTGGAGGCAGAGATGCAGGGGGATGTGAATTCTGACATTGACGGTTGAGATCTAGCAGCTGCAGCTTCCCCTGGCAAGGTTAATTTAGGGAAGGGAATCCGGTGTGGGATCCAAACCAAAGATGCTGTTGCTGCTGTCCAGCACGGTCCTTGCTGCTGGTACAGACCGGCTGCTCTCTGTATCTAAGCTAAATCTTTCCTGGTCCAGAAGGAACTGGAGAAATGAGTCCAAAGGTGTAGCCTGCTAGAGATACACATTCTCGCGGGCTGGCTTTTGAACGATCCCGGCTGGCTGGAAATCTGCAAGTGAGGTTCTTCCCTGCAGAATGGTGGCCATGTTGGTAGTGGAAGGGTTAATTTCTTGTTGCTGTAACAGGGTTGGAGAGCAGTAGCTCAGCCTGCTGGTGTTAGCAAGATTAAAAGCAGGCGCTGCAGTGCCATTGAAAATGCTGAATGAGAGGGACTTGAACACCAAACTGCAGCTAATTTTTTCCCCTTCCTTCCTCCCACTGGGTGTCTCTTGGAAAAAAATCACCAGCTCTTCCTCCCTTCGTGCCTACTGTCAAGTGTGAAGATGATACCTCAAATTTTGATGCCCCGGAGAAGAATTCCAGCATTGCTTCCTCTCTGTGCCAGCTGAGCCCTGCAGGTTTCTCAGGGGAAGGTTTGCCGTTCGTGGGGTTCTCCTTCATCAAGGCACTGGCGGTCCTCCGATTGGAGTAAGTAGGCAATGCTACTGGCTTGGAGGGAATGAGTAAGAGAGGCGATCTGTGCTCAGGGTAGTTGCTGGGGTTGGAGGGAGCCAAAAAGCCAGCTCTTGACTGGTCTTCGTCTTCTGCTGTAGGGAGATGATTCGGGGTTCGTTTCCCTTTGAACTATGATGGATGTTACTGGTCTCCCCCACCCCAGTGATAGGATGCAATGGAGACTTTTCAGTTTGAGATGAAAACTCCTTGAATCAAATCTGGCCAAAAATCCGTTGCCTGCCTTCTGCAGGGGAGAAAATGTTTCTGAATTCACTGTCTGGCTTTGCAAAAATTCAGAAGGAAATTGGGGGAATCTAAGATTGGGTGTGTGTGCTGCTGAGATGAACTAGCTGAGGCTGGGGTATTTGCTAAGCCTGGTAGGTCCAGGGAACCCCTAGGGGCATGGTGGAGATGAGCCAGGTGATCCAGGATGCCCACCAAAATGGGGAAGAGGCTGTTGATAGAACTCATGGTCAAAGGAGGCATAGGAACTGCAGAATGGCTGATGCAGAGGTCCATAGTGATTAGCCATTTAGGAAGATCTGAGGTCCTGTATCACAGTAGCAAGCTGATATAGTGAAGAGTTATCAGTCATATAATGATGCCTCTTCTGGTTTCGTGGGCCCTGGAGTCTGTGCTGCTACTATTAGAAGGAAAGCATGAGCAAAGCATGTCCAGTGGGAGAAAAATGACTTGAGTATTAAGACTCCATGGATTATCCCGGCATGGAGATTTTATATTTTTAAGATGTTCTCCCCTTTTTAACAGGAATGCACACCCTAAACATTCTATGATTTGTTTGATTTTGGTTCAGAATATTATATGGAGCTATCCAACAGTTGTATAAACTAGGATTATAAATCTGCAAATTCAACCATGGGTTTTCAACAAACCATGCTTAAAGCACGACTTAAAGCATGGTTTGTTGAAAACCTTGGCATAATGTTTTGTATGGACTTGGTCACTGGCTCAATGCATAGCGAGCCCAATTATGGGGTAGGTTGTCTGGCTAAATCAGATTTCTGTGTTTCCCATGTGTGGATGATTTTTTTAAAAATGAAGCCTGGAACCTAAATTTGGTTTCTCTCCTGGCACCAGTGATGTTCCCATCTTATGAGTCAGAAGAACCTTAAATAGGCCAGCAATTAAAAGGGAGCTTCTTCCCTGCCTTTGGTGTCCTCCTACTCAGAGGGTGCTGCTTTTTGGGCGGGGGTGGAAAGCCAGGGAGTACCAATCAAGAATTGGAAGGTGGTACCTCTGCACCAAAAAGCCGACTTTCTGCTCAGTTTTATGTTTTGTTTTCGCCCTAAAGTCTCCTAAAATCTTTACCAAACCCTTGAGTGTTCTCTGTTAAGATCAGCAAGATGAAAGGTCTTCCTTTTTATGATTAGCATCTTGAGGTAGTTGATCAATTTCGCCGTGAGTTCTGATTGAGCTGGTGAGGCAATCAGGTGGAAAAAGTATTAAGCTACTTCATGGAGGCTACTGATGGCCCTTGGCTGAGACCTCCTTGAGCAGAGAAATATAAGTGTGATTATCAGATAATGGTGACAGCAGAAGGAATAGTCATGGTCTAAGAAGCTAATCTTGCAAGCTACCCTGTGGTTCTACATATTTGGTTGGATTCTGAAGGGCTGTTCTAAAGTTTCTCTTGTTTCTTCCAAAATATTGTTCATTCAAGGAAGAGAAAGATGTTTAAAATGGAAATATTAAGCTAGCAATGGTGTTCAGGGCTTAGCTATTGAACTAAAAGTTGAAATGTGTAGCATCTCTTTCTTTCCTTGTCTCTAAAAGATTTTAAGCTGGATTTGGACATTATATGAATCCATACTTGCTTAATCATAGTTTACTGATTAAACTCTGTTTGGCAGGGATTGCCCAATATGTCAGGCTATAAACCATGGCTTATAAACCCAGTCACAGATGTCTCCTACTTTCAGTAGAAGAGTTTAATACCCTAGCTCTATCATAGTTCATTTATTCATAGCTTATTGTTAAATCACAATTATGGTTTTGCAGAACATGCAAGGCCATAAACCATGATTTGTAACTTCTGTGTGTTTATCTAAGCAGAAAGGCCACCATAAATAAAATAATAATAATGTAGAACATCTCCCAGTTCCATCAGAAATGTACTGATGAGAGACTTCATTCAAATATTAGCTAATGTGGCATGTGTAAACAGTGTTTATTGAATAAACCACAATTGGCTGTTTTTTTCTGTGTTTTATTTAACGAAAGCTTACTGAATAAACATGGGATGCATTTACACAGTACTCTAAGCGATCAACCATGGTTTTCAAGCCCAATTACAGTGCTGTAAAATATCTCTCCCAAATTCACATAGCTTGTGTGATAAAAAGCTTTTGCATTTTTATTTGTACCATGAAAAGTGATCTTTGATTTATTCTGAGAGATGGCTATGATTTGCCAGATTGAGTCTTTATACATGTAACTTTTTGAACAAATTGATTGTTTCTTAGACCCTAGTTAATACCAAAAATTGGACAGTCATTGAAGGGAGAATAACTAATGTTTAGAGGAAGGTGATCAGGATATGGGAGAAAAATACTGTAAAAGCACTGGCTATTCTTACATGAATGCTATTGTAAAAAAAAAAACTCATTTCAGCCTAGCATGTGAATTCATTTACTTGAGGTACATAAGTAAGCCATAGTTACCTTAATGAATAAATTAACAAAATAGCAAGCATTGGTTATATTGTATGATCTTGGGCCAATTTCATTGTCTCAGCTCACTTTGTCTCATGGGGTTATCCTAGAATAAAGTAAGGAGGAGCATTATGTATGATAACCAGTGGTCCTCAAAACTGGTTTGTGTTCTGGATGCTGTGAAGAAATGCGGGGGAGGGGGGAGAGCAAAAGCCAGAGCCATTTCAGTCCACATTCTGACATTTCCTCTTTGCTTTGGTGGACATGTCAAATATTGGCTTATCCAAGCAGAGCAGGAAGACAAGCCCCACTCTGGCTTTGCATATGGTGGTGGCTCTGTGTGCTGGTGTTGTCTCATTCCTCCATCAGAGAGAAGCTGGGGCTTTCCCCATGCAGTAGAAGCTGCTTTGTCACCCCCCCCTCCCAGAGTTTCTCCTGAAATCCTCAAGGTCCTTTGGAGGTGGGGCTGTTTCTGAAAGGTGGAATCCTGAGAAATGATGGTGTGAGTGGGGCAAGACTGGGAGGGCCTCATTGCTGTGAGAAACTGCCCCCCAGCTCAACTTCCCAGATCCTCAGGCACAACTGCATTGTGAATATGCAGAGGAATCCACCTTCCTACCTGGAGTCCCTTTCTTGATGTTTTGGACCACATTTGAAGTGGCAGTCCCACACAGATGGAGGGCAGCATATATGCAGTGAGAGGCTATAAGTCACCGGTGGGAGACAATCAGATTGCCTTCAGACAAATTGGGGAAAAGCAGAAGGTGACAGTTCAGGAAGAATTCCTTTGTTCAAGAGCCACGCACCAAGCATCCTGCACACCATGCCTCCAGGAATCCAGAAGGAGGCAGGGAGAGACCCAGAGGAACCCAGCGCCTTCCTGAAAGAGCTAACTTGTCCTTGTTGTCAGCACTTTGGATAGCTCCAGCCAGCTGGGCAGCTAGAGCTTGTGGCTCTGGTGGTCATTCTAGTTGCATCAAGGAGCCAAATCTGGCTTCCGCTCACATACCTGTAGTCCTGGAAGCAGGAAACTGGAAATGGATAAAAGGGCCTTGACTCTGGGTGCCTTCCATAATAGAGCTTTGCTGCCACCTCCTCTAAACCCTACTCCTATGTGTGTGTGAGAAGGCTGGGACAGAGTAAAATGTGGAAGGCCCTTTTCATCCACGAGTTGCCCCAATGATTCTTCCTGATCCCCTTGCAAAGAGGTTCTGCTATAGATTTGTAGGAAGGGAAGCCTACAGATGTGCAGGCTGTATGTTAAATTGGGCGATCTGGTCAGATTTGTTTAAAACTGGAGAGCCAGCTTATCCAGGCAGAGGGAAGGGAAATCTAGAGTGTAGTCTTACAAGGCAGCCAGCTTGTCTAAGCAAAGCCTGGGGGTGAGTTTTGTCAGGGCTCCAGCTTTGGATCCAGAAGCCTCATGGCAGATATAGTCAAAGCTGGATCATGGTCAGAATTCATTCCCATCCTGCCTGGATAAGCCACCAGCAAAGTCAGAATCTTCTACTGTCATTGCAATATAGAGCAAATATCCAGAATCAATGTGGGATGAGAAATGAAAATGCCTGTCTCAGAAATAAATCCTAGATTTCAGGAGGCTCACTCTTCCCATTAAAAAAATACGGTTTTAAATTTTGTGTATTATTGTTTATTTTCAGTTAGAAGGTTTTATTTTGTAATGTTGCAAGGTTCTGTCATTGCTTTATTTTGTATATGTAGATTAAAAACTAATTATTGCAAGTGGTATGTTTATTTCTTGCCCAGAATTGTTATTAGTATTATTCATGGGATTCATTTTATGGGGTCATGGCACTGCAGAGTTTGAGAACTCCTGAAATAGGGCATCTTGCATTAAATACAGTTGTTTTGGTCGTCCCGTCTAAGCTGAAGTTTGGAGGCTTCAGTTGAACTGGTAGAGGGATTCGGTTTCCTGTACTGCTTTAAAACTGTTATGAATAAGTTTTTAAAGCTTTTAAGTAATCTCTTAGGCTTCAGATTGGGATATCACATACACTTAGTACTCTCTGAGTATTGTTTTCTATTTTAGTACATAGATTGAGAGTTCAGCGTGTTACATCTCTGTTCATATAAACCATGGTGGCTCTATTTTTTTCTAGTCTTTGGACTGCATGTTGGAGATCACCTTCCAAAAAGTAATGGATGGGACCTGGACAAAATCCAAGTGTCATTTCCTTCCATGTATGTTTAATTAAAATAGAGTTAACAGGGTTACAGTCCAGTCATATATTGCATAATGTTCCTCTCCAGTCATATTAAAAATTATATTTTGGTGATAACTTCAGAAGTCCCTGCTGGGCATAATTAAGGCTTCAGATTGTACAAGCCTTGATGTAAAGTATGGTTTACTCTGGGAAAAGAATGTTATTCTAGTGTTCCTTCCTTGTCCCTCCCAGGGTCTTTGTACACTCAGCACTGGCAAAAAGATCCTGGATACTTAAGTTACTATTTCCTGTAATAACTGAAGAGGCAAATTCTTGTTTAAGAAACCAGGATATATTTGTGGAAATCTGGGTGCTGATGGGGAGAGTTATGGTGGGATCATGGTTTATCAAACTATAGCTGGGTACACACAACACCATATGCCAAAACCAAGCAAGCCACACCAATGAATGTATTGTGTGAACATATTCCCTATGTTTTGTAGACCATGATTTATGGTTTAGTGAAAAGGTGCAGAGCTTTTTTGAGTTGAAGGTTGCACTTAGTTTTAAAGTGATGTACTAGCAACCACCTTACAAAATGTAATGAATAGGACCAGGACAAAAAATAGATTTAATTTCACTTACATATGAGTATAATAAATATAGCTAATATGATGATTCTCCATTCCTGTATGTATACATTTTCCCTTTCTATCACATCAAAGTTCAATTTGATAACTCTTGGAAATTTCTGGTGGCCACATCCAAAATGTTTGGGGGCTACCGCCTGTCCCCTCTGACTTAGTGTGATGTACATCTCAACCCATTCTGGTTACTCAACAAGCCACTGCAGAATGGCTTATATGAACCCAACCTTTTCTAAGCAGTCAAGCAAATTATTTCCCCATGTAGAATTTTAACCTCTGATACTTTTCCAAACTGAATACAAGCTGATAGAAACATCTCTAAGTTAAATGGTTATAGTGCCTTCTGAGTGGAGCTTGAAAACTCCATGTGGCTCTCTCTTACCAACACTTTTCCGTGTCTTCCTTTGTCTGGCTGGGAAATTGCAGTCATTTTAAAGAAATGTTATGTGCTGTGGGTGGCCGTTTTATAACTACAGTACTAATATACAGCTTGCCTCAAAGAGAGAGAGAGCATGCTTAATGGTTCTGATAGCCTTCTCATAGCTTGTACTAACTAGAAGAATCTTGAAGTAGACCTTTGCATTCTCTAGGCACAGACTTTTCGACAATGTTTGGGATTCATTCTCTCTCTCTTCCTGTCTTCTAAGGTCTGCTTTGGGTTTGGATTCTCCCGCTAAGATTAACTCCATGGAAAAGAAACTCCTCTTTAAGAGCAAAGAGCTGCAAGACACCCAGGATAAGTGTCACAAGGTATTTATTTACATGGCCGGCCTTCCTCCTTGCTCCGGGAGTTCTCAACCCGCCAGTGCCAAAGGACCTGCCAGATGCTGATGATGGTTTGCAGTTTCAGCGGAGCGGTTTCCTCATCAGGCAGAGGGAGATGAGCATAGGCCATGTCTCGTTCCAGAGCTGCTCATTTTAACCAGAAGAAGCTCTGGATTCTTCCAAGATCCTTTCTTGGCCCAGCCCTGACGGTGGTTTCCAGCAGTTCACATGTCGTCTTCATCTGATGCTTTCCTTCTCTAATTCTATTTTGAGTACTGCAAGGTCTTATTTTTTCCTGGTCCTCCTCTTTCTGCTTATGTAACTGTTGCTACTTCATTGATTTGCAGTGAACACGTTCTAACTGTTTCTGAAAGAAAACTCACTGGGATACATGTAAACTCCATTCTTCTTTGAGGGACTTAAAGGGAGTGCAGTTATTTCTTGCTTTGATCTGTGTTGGACTTGATCTCTGCTCCCTCTGAAAGATATGGGGGGAAGTCCTCTTCTGGTCCAAGATGGATTTGAGATAAAGCTAAAGTGACCCATCTCTGGAAAAAAAAAAACCAATCAGGTGAAAAAATGATTGTGACTTCTTTGCTAACTGGGGTTCGAAGAGTGACTGAATGTGAACAAACAGCGTGAATGAATGGGGTGACTTAGAATTACTGCCTTTCCCTGAGAAGGAACTCTGAATTTCCAGGAACAGAAATAATGGTATTTGCATTTTAAACACAATTCTAGCCTAGTCTCTCTTCAAGAGACAGATTCCTTCCCAACACGTGCCTTAACACTGTAAGCTCACTGCACGTTGGAAAGCCCTTTTAAACCTTTCAATGTTTGTTGCAGATGGAGCAGGAAATGACGCGCTTGCACCGCAGAGTGTCAGAGGTGGAGGCTGTACTTAGCCAAAAGGAGGTGGAACTGAAAGCCTCCGAGACCCAGCGATCTCTCCTTGAACAGGACCTGGCTACCTACATCACAGAATGCAGTGTGAGCCTCTCCCTGTTCCCCGGAAATCACTCACATTGGCTGGCCTTTAGAAGCTTTCTGGCTGGTGATTTGTACCAACAGGGCTGGTGGCAGCATCAAGAAATTAACACGTTACACCAAAAAAGGGTGTTTAATTTGAAACGCCCTTGAAGTCTGTTACATGGTAGCGGTTCCTAATGAGCCCAAGGGTGGATGGCGTGTTAGCAAAGCAAAAGGATATTTGGGTTGTGTCTTACAGGCAGACAACTCAGAGGGGATGGTCCTTTGAGACTCTTCTTGACCAAACTGAAAAGTCAGTTTGAGGGCAGTTCTTTGGTGGTAGTAACAATCCTAAATCTGTGGAACTGTCTGTATTGATCCTCTTCCAGGCATCATATTAACAAAAATGTGACTGCTGGAAGCATTCATAATTGGTGTGTCTAGTCCAGAAATTTTGACCTTTCCTGTGATTGTGACTTTCCAAGGATTTAGGTCTTTTCTTAGTCCTACTGCTGATGGCAGGGATTGGTTGAGACCAGATCTTCTGTACTAATCTTTTGAGCTATTGCCTATCTCCATTTAGCGGTCCAGTAGAGATTGCTGTTATATTCTCATGCAAGTAGCTCCTTAAATTACTTGTTACTTTTTGGATCAAAAGCATATTTAACTGCTCTGGAGACATCGGCTAGAAGACGTTGCTGCAACTGAGACAAGAAGGTTGAAACGGAACCCAAGCTAAGATGCAAAGTTCCTGTTCACAATTGTTGGGGTTGTTTGGTTTGTTTTTCTGCCCTTAGCCAATAACCTTTGCTTTGGCCACGTTGCAGGCAAAGGGGCCTTTGTGTTCAACATTGCATTTTTGCAGAGCTTAAAACGAAGTCTGGAGCAGGCTCGGATGGAAGTTTCTCAGGAGGATGACAAGGCACTGCAGCTCCTTCATGATATAAGAGAACAAAGTCGGAAGTTGCAGGAAATCAAGGAACAGGTATGAGTAACTATCGTTCAGAGTATTTTAATGACAACTTAGAGCAGTGTTTCTCAATCTCAGCAACTTTAAGACGGGTGGACTTTAACTCCCAGAATTCTGGGAGTTAAAGTCTACCCATCTTAAAGTTTTTGAGGTTGAGAAACACTGACTTAGAGTATACTAGCTGGTTGTAACACTAGGCATGGTTTCATATAAGCCCTCTTTCCAAAACAGAAGACTTAACAGAGTAAAAATAAACGTATTTTTAGGGTGTTGGACTAGAAGACCTCCAAGTTCCTTTCCAGCACTATGATTCTATTTTTCACTATATGTGTCTCTGATTCCTGAATCCTTCCCCACCTCCATTTTTCCTTTATACTTTCTAAAATGTGTGATACCCCTTTCCTTTCCCCAGGAGTATCAAGCTCAAGTGGAAGAAATGAGACTGATGATGAATCAGCTAGAAGAGGATCTTATTTCTGCTCGCAGACGTAGTGATCTTTATGAATCTGAATTGAGAGAGTCTCGACTGGCTGCAGAAGAATTCAAGCGAAAGGCCACTGAATGTCATAACAGGCTCCAGAAAGTAGTTAAGGTTAGCACTCCAGAATTCCCTGATTGATTTCCAATCCATTTGACTCCTAATGTGTGGAAAACAGACAAATTTGGCTCCATTGTGGGGGGCTGCAAGGCATACATGCAAACAGCAGTGATCGAGTTGTAGATTTTAATTTTTGATAGTAAAACAAATAGTAGGTTGTAAAGAAGCTGAAAAAAGTTGTTATTCCTTATCATTGTTTTAAAAAGGGAGTGGGAAGGCTGGATTGCTCAGGATTCTGACTGGCAGACATCAGATTTTGTTCTAAAAATGTTTTATATTTGTCACTAGCCAAATTTCTTAGCCTGTATGATATTAAGGGTCCAGGGAATGGTGAAGGATGGCATTTTTTCCTTTGTGTGGTGCAAGTTAATCAGAACAGATGCCTTTATGCCCAATATTGTTGCCTTTTCTGGGCAAAATTACTCTACTATAACTGCTTTTGTCAATTTCTTGTGTCTCTTTTTCAATAGTGCAAGTGAATAAGGAGATCTGTTTAAGAAAGATTGACTCTATTTCTTTCTTTTGAATAACAGTTACTGCCAGTTTTCACCTTTATTCCTCAAAGTGGGGGCGGGGTAAGAACATTGAAATTCAGGAATTACGTTGGTTTCTGTTAATGTGGATCCAATTACTAAATTGCCGATTCTGTTTAATCCTCACACAAAAGGTTAAAGATCAAGGAAAAACAGAAGTAGGAGAGCTGTATTCCAAGTTGGAGAAGGTAGGTTTATGAGTGTCATTTTGTTTGTGGAATTGTTTGTGGCTACTGATAAAATCACAGAATAAATATAATATTTGAATGATCTGCAGTTTGATTCTCAGGGACTAGTCAGATGATCCCCACTGGATTTAGGTTTTGTGAGAGTATGGTCATAAAATCAGATGTATTCTGTACTTAAACTGGGATTTTGTGACAGGCTATAGTGATGAAGCTTCTGTGCCCTGTTGACTGCATTAACATTATATGCAATCTTCATGAACATTTTATCCTCATAAGAGTAACTGCCAGTCTTAGACAGCTTATAAGATTTCAAGTATTGTGACCTGAAGTGCATGTTCAGCAGCTGAGGAAAAATCCCTGCACCAGCTTAGAGGCAATAAGGAGTTACAAATTAGGGAGAAGTTGAGCTGTGTAAGCAAAGTAAAGAAGGCAAATTAGAGAAGTTCAGCATAAGAAAATGTTCAGGAGAAAGAATTTGGAAGCAGGATGGCTAGATGAAGACAGGAATTTCATGGAAGGCCTTGATCTAAGAATGGGGAACATTGCATTGGCCCCCGATGTTAGTTAAGCCCATTCTGTTGTGAGAGTGTTTGCTATAACCAGCCTTAGCTATGATTGGTTGTGTTTTGTGACATTGGTACTGTGTTGTATTAATCTTTTGACTTAATTGTTTTTTATTTTTATCGATGTATCCCACCCAGAGTCACAAATTGTGAGTGGGGCAGTTTTATAAATTCCTTAAATAAATAAATAAATACATACATACATACATACATAAATACATAAATAAATAAATACATAAATAAATAAATACATAAATAAATTGAAACATTTAGGGAGACATA